ATGGAATACGACATATTATTATAATTATTATTCTAAATTTAAGTTTAAAAAATTAATACAATTATTAGTTCAATACATAAGAATGAAATTTCAGATAAAGCATTTAAAATTACCTTTATATATGTTATACAAACGAAGGAGTACTTTATTTAAGGTTTTACTTTACTTGTTTGGCTTGGTTTGCCTTTGCTTCGCGTTTGCTTGGCTTTGCTTTTATTTTGTTGGTTCGCTAATAAAAACAATAAACTCGGCGCAATTATTCGTTGGCCAAGCCATAAGGCGCTATCGGCTATCGGGTATCGGCCGTGTTAAATCATTCAATAAACTTCAGCTACCACGGGGGGGCATCTACCGTGGACTTTGGCGAGTCCAAACCAGTTTTGGTAATTGCTGATAAGTGAAGTTGACAGTAGAGGGGCTGTGTCATACACCTGGCTGCTTAGTACGGCATTAAAATATATGAAATTCTTACCTTTCTTCACTTTCAATGGCTTGCCCCAGGGGCATTTGGTTGAAGTTCAACGCTTTTATTCTTCACTTTTGCAAGTTTGCAATTTTTCAATTATGCAATAATGGCAAAAAGTTAAAATACATATACTAAATTGCTTATATTTTAAACTGTTTATCAGCTAGCTTTTAACTTGCCACTTATCTAAATTGTTGTTGCCATAAAAATATTTGAAAAAAACAAAAACAATAAATGTTCACAGAAATTAAATCATAAAGATAGACCTAATGGCTTGTTGATTGATTACGAATCAAACTATGTAAACGATAATTGCAGAAAAATGTCCGGAAATTTTTCATAATTTGCATTATATTACGCATACGCACTGTCTACATATCATGCTCAACAGATCTTTGTAAAATTATAGCACGCCACAATTTAAGCTAATAAATCATTGCAGTATGCATATAAAATTTAATTTTTATGTAAATTTTACGTGACCGACCTTAGCATAGTTTTATTTCATGTATGAATTTGTCAAGCAAAAAGGTTTCTGATTACTGCGACAGTTCATCTGTTTGACCTTGTTAAGGTTAAGCTCCAAATTGTTAACTACACAATTCCGTCAAAATACTAATTTTACTTACAAATATTTATATTTCCATTGGTTTTTTAATAATGTTTTAAATTCATCAATATATATTTTTGTATTCATAGCTTATTGAAAAAATTGTTTATTGAAATTTTGTTCAAAGCCCAAATATAATTTGGCCAAGATATGAGCAAACATAGTTTGCATTTCTTATGAAATACCGTTTTTTTTTTTTTACAATAAACATTTATTTTATCTCTTATAACTAAACAAATGAAAATAAAAATATTAATAACATTAAAAAGAGAGAGAGTGAGAGAGTGCAGAAATAAATAATATCGTTCCATCAAATTCCTGACTAAAAGATAAGAAACAGAAATAAAAGTTGAAAGTACAATTTATGAGAAACACCGAGTAGTCTGCTTTGTTGTAATACACGCATATTTATTTGGCAGTTATCAAAAAGCAAGTAAGTAACTTGATTAGCGTATCGCATAAGATAACGCAAAAATAAATATACATACTCCTGTATATATATGTACATGTACTTGAATTGTACATTCATTCGCCGAAATTGTTATGCTCACACGTCCAAGAGGATTTTTTGCAATCGCTGATTGGCATTTTAGATAAACTATTTAAAAAGTGAACTTTTATTTCGTGAAACTACTTATTATGTCATCCAGATGCAGAAATTTGCAACTCAAACAAACTTTATCAAAAGCAAATTAAAAACTCAGACATCAATCAGTCAGTATTTCAGTTAATCATAAGCCTTTCAGTCAATCAGCCACTATTTAAATCGGACATTCATGAAGTCACTCACATTTTCACTCAGTCAATCGGTCAGTCAATCAACCAGCTAACCAATCAATCACCTAGCAAATGAAGCAATCAATTAATTATTCAATAAGTCAGTTATAATAACAGTCAATCAGTCGATTATACCATCAATCAATCGTTAAATCAGTTAATTCAAGCAGAATGCTCTTTCAGTCAATCAAACGTCAATCAAGGAGTGAGTCTGTCAGTCAAACGGTTAAGTCATGAATAATAAATCAAATAGTCAAATAGTCAGTCAAACAATCAATCATTCAATCAGCCTTACAGTCCGCCAGGCAAACAGACAGTCCTTCTTTTATTCCGTCAATCATTTGTTCAATCTGTTTGTCAATTGGCAAAGCCAAACACGTTCGCAAAATGCAAACACATTTCCCAATCAGTAATGCTCTAAAAAAACATTAGCCCTTCGGCCCAGCTCAGATATGACTCACTTTTACTTGGTTTGTGTGGTGAAGCATCTGTTGCCAGTTGAATAAATTTCAAGACGTTAAGTTTAACAGTGCCTGGGTCACAGAACATTCAAAACTTTTCTTTTGTTCAAAGATTCTCGATGGCGTCATCGGTCAAAGTTTACCCGGCGAGCGTCCACTTGCTTCAATTTCCACATTGACAAGTCATCAAGTACTTACGCTACATTTGTAATTTATAAGTGGGCTCTACACTTTCTTATACCGTCTCATTATCGCTTGATCGAATCGAAAGTCGCGATATGTATCCAAAGTACATCATACGATTTCGCAAAATATACTTTTTATTGTGAAGCTGAAGAACTTAATTGCCGGCGACTGTTTCCCTTTATGAATGGAACAAATCGCCGAGCTGTGCAAAGTACAAGCCACAACAAATACTTCTACTTCATAACAAATACTTCCAGCGCGCTGCGCGCTTTCTGAAACACGTAATGCGGAACAGCGTTTGTGCTTGGCATAGTTTGCTCGCTTATCTAAATTGGAGCACCCGCTTAGGTTGTGTAAAATATGCCGTTTTTGATAGTGCGCACTAAAATAGATTCATTCTATGCTTCCTAGTCAGCCTCTGCGAACTGCGAACACTTTGACATTCTTGCCATCAATTTTAAAACACTTATGTTGTGCAAATATATCCAAGCCTTGACACACACAATACTCTAGCAAATTTGATTTATTTATTTCTTGGAATGTTGCAAGTCGTTCATTTATATGCGGTACTTGAGTATACAAAAAATATATAGATATATCAAATATGTGGAAACTATTTATAAGTAAATTAAATATCATTTAATT